CTGCACTTTAAGCGTTTAAAGGAGAACACTTAATTTGTCCCACTCTAGGTATCCCAAAGTAATTCCACACAGTTTTTTTTAACAAAATTACCATTCTCCCACTTTCCTAGGTCTAAAACCTCAGTATTACCTTTAATTCTTTCCTCCATTTCCAACCTGCGTACAAACCACCACAAAGTCCTACAGATTTGCCACCTACAATACTTCTCCCATTTCCTTCCCTCCTTTTTTCCCATTCCTACTCACCTGCAAGCTAGTTCAGGACCTTACTACCTCCGGCTTTCTTCTTCTAAATTGGCTTTCCGATCTTAATCTTCGCCATTTCAATCTCCCACAATTTCCTGACACACACCTATAACCTAACTCAGTCTCTGGACTGGCTAGGCTTTGAATCATCAGAGGTGCTTTAAAAACAAAAGCCAAGGCTCCCTCCCACAGATTCCGATTAAACTGGCCTCAGGTGGCACAGGCTGGGTTCTCGGGTGGTGTGTTGCCTTTTGCTCACAGGTGATTTTAATGTACAGCTAAGGCTGAGAACTACTACTAACCAAACTGGGACTGACTTTTCTCAAACACACACCTGTTTTCTAATGTTAAATTTACTCAGCTAGTTTTGTCTAGCTCCTTTCCTATAAGCCCTTCTTTGCTAAGGACTACCATTCAGCCACTGTGCTTGTAACAAACGTGTTCAATCTTACAACTTATAAATAAAGATGAAACTTTCATTCTACCTCCACTCCCTTCAGTCAACCTCTCCTTCCTTCCTTCTAGCCAGGTATGACATGCACAAAGGCAGCAAGGAGATTTTTATAAAGCTGATTTTATTTTGGCAACTAGATCGTTAACTTTAGACAAATAATTTTCTTCAACCTTAATTTTTCCTCTCTAAAACAAGAAGACTGGATTAGACAACCTCTAAGTTTATTTCTACACAACAATGACTCTTTGATTACTTACTCAAATTATGATTCTGATTATTTATTATAAATAGATTCCTGGACCACTGGTGAATGACGCTTATAGTCTATTTCCCTTAAATATCCAATTCAGAACAGTTCTAGGTTCTCTCATGATTCTTCCAATTAGAATTACTACGTATCTACTATGATTCTATCTGTTAGACATCATTTTTTTGTGTTCAGGGTTTTCTTTTTTATTTGTTCGTCTTTTGAGACAGGGTCTCATTCTGTTGCCCAGGCTAGAGTGCAGTGGCACCATCAAAGCTCACAGCAACCTCAAGTCCCCTGGGTTCAAGCCATCCTCCTGCCTCAGCCTTCCAAGTAGCTGAGACTACAGGTACTTGCCACAATGCCCAGATAATTTTTTCTCTTTTTTTTTTTTTTTTTTTTTGGAGAGGTGGCGTCTCATTCTGCTGCTCAGGCTGACTTTGAACTCTTTTCCTTTAGGGATACTCCCGCCTCGGCCTCCCAAAGTGCTAGGATTATAGGCAGGAGCAACCACACCTGGCCCAGACATCAAATAATGCAAAATGGAACCTTCAAAGTATCTTTTTAATCACTGTAATCTTGACGCAGCCAAAATAATGGTAAGAAGTACCATCACACAAATTCTTAAAACTAAATGCCAAGTTAGATACCATTACCATTCACAGACTAAATCAGTTTGTTCTATAACCATATAAACCCAGAGAAGACATACAAGTTCAGCTTTCAAGTTATTAATTTTAATGTATGAGAAATAACCATGGCAATGAAATGATTTGCTACTTATTCCTGATGGCTAAGTGCAGATGATATAAGGAGAAAAATGTTTCATTTCCTAAATTAAGGTCAAATATATTAATTATGAAGGAAAGACTTCCTGGTAAAGAGAATGGAACCGTTAACAGCTGAGTAGCTGCAGCAGAAAGGCACTGGGCTGCCTACTAAGAAATGAAGGAAATCTCTACCAGACTTTTTTAAAAGAGTTCTGGCCCTACCCTAGCTATCATCAACAGTTTCTTATCTTCTCAAGCCACGCCTTTGTCTCTGCATCCTCAAAATGAAGACAGTTAGCTACATAAATCAATTCCAAAGTTGCCTGATAAAATCACCCAGGAAGCTTTTTGCAAATACAAAATGCCAGGGCTCCTCCCCTGGAGATTCTTTTGATATAGTCTGAGCTATGGCACAGACTTCTGAATTGTTAATTTTTTAACTAGTAACTTGTTTTCATACATGGCTAAACAAACATTAAGATACACTCTAGGATATATTTTTAGCTCTAGGATTCTATTATACATAGAATAATGCACATAGTAGGTGTTCAATAGATACAACTAAATGACTAAGATTAGAAAAATGAGTTAACTGTCAGGTAAGCACATACATGGCCACTTTAATTATTTCTAATCAGTGAAATAAAGGAAAACACAGTCCTCCAATTATCACTTGGCTAAAAGGATTCCTGTTTTGTTTTCAAGATGTTTAAAAACACCAAACTCTCTTGCAGTTAAAAGGAAAATGTATAGTAGGAGGTGTGCACAGCTAAGGAGGAGAAGTGTCTTAGACTCTTTTTATGTTTCAGTATTTTATTGTTTCAAAAAGGGATTGCGTTTTTTTGTATAAAGAGCTATATATAAAATCTGCAGTGAAATACATCACTCTATAAAAAAGGAAAGACTTAGGGAAGGGAGACATTTCAAAAATTACGTCAATCCTCTGGACAGTTTCATTAATTATTTTCTGCATTATAATTAATCCTCTGAGTTTGGTTCCAGTATCAATCTTAGGGTAAAAATGTAATTAGTTTTTAGCTCATTTCCTTTCATTTTAAAGACTACTGGTTTTTGGTTTTAATTTTTATGTCTTAGTAATAAATACCTGGAATATTCTATGGTTCAGACTTTGAAAACCATATAACGGACTATTTCTACAGATTTTTCTTAAACCTTCATAGAAAGAAACACATCTACTTTTTCACATTTCATGTTTCTGCTAGGTTACATTTTATAAACCCGGTTAACAGGAAACTACTCAATTATAGAAATACTGTTTTGATTGTATTAACAATTAAATTATCTAAGTAGAACTTTTTTGAAACAAAAAAATGTAGCCGTCAGAAAATATACTGCAGAAGAACCATTTAGCAAAAACATCCATTCTGTCAAGCGACTCTAGTTGGGGAACGAGGACAAAAGTATGGAATAAATAAATCTATTTGGCATGTTATTTTTCATTCAGCAGTATCAAATAAATGGCAGTGGCATCGTAAGAAATTCCTGGTGACTCTTTCAAAGTATTAGCACTTTAAAAGAATGATTAGTATTAGGTTCAAAAGCCTAAAACTCATAAGCACTTATAAGGACACACCCTGGTATTTTTTTTCTTCCTATGATTAAACCATCATGAAAGAGGAAGTTTTGAATCAAAGTGTTTACGCATTGCCACCGGAGAAGCATGTTAGAAATCTGAACCTCTAACTTACTCTATTTTTAAGTACAGACCTAACATTATGCCAGAGTTCATATAGGGGAGTAGGAACAGCAGACCACTGCGGACCACTATCTTAACATTTTAATGTTAATGTATTTTGTATATAGCCAGAAATTAAAAACACCACAGCATACTTCATTCTCATAGAAGTTACAAATTTCTTTCAAAAAAAAGGTACGGCTTCTTAGTTTGATTATTACTCTAAAGACAGCTCTTATACCAACTTCTAATTATACCAAGGGTCTGAATAACAGAAAAAAAAATCCACAGTATTTTGAGAGTCTGTGTTTATATACGTCATACTTCATTAAGGAGCCAAATCTCAATGCAATGCTCTATAAATATTAAGGGATCAGTGATAACATCACATAACTTGAGTTTGAGAAGAAAATACTTAACTTCACAATTTAAAATACTAGAACAAAAAGTAGCCTCCAAAACACAATGATTCATCTTTTAAAATGCTCCTTTCAGAACACAAAGAAAATAGTTGATGGATCAAATGTCACATTGCCAACAAATAGGTTCAGTGGCTTGATGGGAAAGCATTAAAACCGATTTCTACCAATTACCCTGTCTATATAAAACAAAGGCAAACCTATATACAAAATACAAATACATACTCCTGAACTAATAACCGAACCATCTATGAGTAATGACCAAAACAGAAAGCTGGATAAGAGTTTTGATAACCTGGGTTCAAATTATGTCAACATCTTGTTCTCAAATGCAAATAATTATTCTCAAGTGCAGGTAATTGTTGACATTATCATTTAGTCATAGGAGTCAGAAGGAGACTCAGTGAGATTGAGTGTAGAAGTCTATCAGACTCAAAGACTATATAGTCTGAGCACTTAACATGACCAAAATTTTATCAGATCCAAAGATTCTAACTACGGAGTGGTTTCACCAGACTAAAAAATAAGATTTAAAATATTTACTCTTTCTACAAGAGGTTTAAGCCCTCAGATTTCTTATTGCACAGGACATGAAAAAGTGTAATTTTATCAAGCCACATTACAGACTTATTAAAGGAAGGGAAAAAGTATGGATAGAAACAGTTTTAAAACATCTCTCTACTAATGTGAACTATTCCCTTGATGCACTCTAAACTTCTAGAATGCTTTATTAAAGTAACAGTACCAGAGACTCCCAGAATGTCTAAGAACCGAGTTAAGTCTTGCTGATGAAGCTAATTTATGATTAACTCAAGAGAGTTAAAGATAAACATTTTTTAAAACTTATACTATAGATATGCTCCATTTCAAGAAACTAGGACATATACAAAACCTCATGCTTACAAAAACAGCCAAAGTAGGGAGTGACTATTAATGTTACAAAAAATTTTCACCTTATAAAGTAACTCACTTTGGCATTTGTTGAAACAGAATTTGGATTACACAATTTAGATTAATGCACTTTCCATCTACTCCGTAATTTGAGCTCACCTATGTCAGATTCAGTATCTTAAGGGAAAGTAAAATGGGTGTGCAGGAAGAAAAGTCAAAGCAAGTAAAAAAATCATGGTAATAGTACAGGTTAATAAATGAAGAAATCAAGAGACAGTTTCATTAATTAATATATTTTCTGCATTATAGTTAACATATGTACTTTCTTTGTGTCACCTTATTTTCTGATAAGTATTGATATTTCGTTATATTCAGACATGAGTACATTTCAACAGTCTTTTGCAATAAATATCATAAAATAATAGAGATTCGCATAATAAATATTCTTTACAATAAAAAAGTTTAACAGACTTTTGTCTTAAAAATAGTCAGAATTCAACTTTGTGATTTATACATACAATATACAAAAAGCACCACAAATTGTGGTTAAGGCAATGAAAACACAGAAAAGGTTAGAATTAGTTAACTGTTAACTAACCAAGGGGCCAAAAAGACCATTAAGGAGCCAAAATCACTTTAGGCAGCATAGTTCTGTGACGCCTATAGATTGATCAGCTATAAATATCAACTTCAGTTATCCAAGAGCCCTCAATGACAACAAAAATTTGGTGAAGAGCATGGGGTGTGGAAGGAAGGTGGTTGAGTCCTTCACAAATACAAAAGCTGGAGTAAAAATGAGCAAGATACAATGAATGCATCTCCAATGTGAAGATGTACATTGTAAAGTGAATCTAAAATAACACAGAAAGGAATAAAAAAAAAAAAAAAAAAAGAAGAGGAAAAAAACACCCGGCATCTCCAGAGTAAGATAAGGCCAAAACTGAGGGGAGAGAATTTTTAAGGGACAGACAAGGAGAGGGCAATGATTAAAGGAAAATTTTAATGTTATAACAAAAATAAATCCACTATGCTACTTAAAGGTCCAATGCTAGGAAAATAGCCCTAACTGGAAACAGATTTAATACATAGCTTATTTAAGCAATTAAACAGTTGCTTCCTTAAAAACCAACTTCCCTGCTCCCACAGTAGCCAACCAAAAACAGCTCTAAATCACTGCAGTCTGAGTGTGGGTGTATGTTCATGAACACAACAACTTTGGAAAGTTGCTTGCAGTATAAAAAGGCTACACCAAAGCCCACCAGCTCTCAGTATCCTCTCCAGGGGATGGCAGAGGCTCTAGCCATAAGTGGGAGCCCAGTACAGTTTCACAGTCCACGCTTATTGAAGATCATCCATGAGAGAAGAACGAAATCCATGAGTCAAACCTTGGGAACAGGGAAAAGAGAAGGTAGGAAACTGGGAAAATTCTAAAGAAAAGAAACCAGTATCTAACACGATCTTTTTGAATAGCCACAACTGAAAAGCTAGAAGTTCAGGAGGTATCATCCACCTCCAGAAATCATGATGGTTTACCCTGACCCCGGGAGGGGCAGCTCTCCAGCTTACAATAGACAGTGTTGGAGTTCTTACATCTGCACCCTGGGCGATGGATCCAGTCATAACACCCCCTGCACAGCTTCAGGCATCCCTTAGCAGGAGGATAACAGAGTAAGCAAGGTAAAAATAAAGACATAGCTCCCATACACAGGTATCTAGAGCAGCAGTGTGACTGTGAACAGGAGCAAGGATTATCCGAGTAAGAATCCCCTTCGTCATCATTGGAGCAGTGGTAGAAGATGCCCTTGACTAAGCACATGCACGTTCCGTATTCCACCATGCTCTCAGCAGAGCAAAGGCACTGCCGGTTACAGGCCAAACAGGATGGCAGGGTCCTGGGAGCTGTACATTCTCCACACTTGCACTTCCCACACTGTTCGCAAATGAACTTGTGCTGTGTCAGGTCCTCTTTCAAGGAACCCTTTAAGTCGTCCACAATTAGCTGCTTGGGCTGAGTCCGGATTGCCCTTTCAGATCTATGACCAGGGACTGGTCTGGTTGGTGGCGATCTTAATAACAGTCCCTGTTCAGAAGAGGCACTGCTATTGCTCCCAGAACTGGCTGCACTTCCAGTGCTGGTTGATCTGCTCAAAATGGGGCCCCTGGCATTATTTGGGGGCACTGCATGTCCCAGGTGGCTTGTAGGCCTATGCTCATAGTTATTATTCACATTAATTGGTATGATTTCGTGAGTCCTTTCATGTTTTTCTTGTCTTGGTGCTGTCCGAGGAGCAGGTCTCTTCACGACTGAAGGCCCTTCTGTGTATTCGTTGCTGCCTCTGATGGCCTTGATCTGGTCTAAGGACAGAATAGCAGCAGGCTGAACCTCTCGCTCATAGTCTAATCTCTGACGGCTATCCAAAGAAGGCTGCTGGATCACAACTAACGAACTGCCACTGCCATGTTGACTTTGGGGATCCATGTGTAGTGATCTCGAATTCTGGCAATCAGTGGAAACCTGGCATGCATCTGAAATCCTAAAAGGAAATCAAAGATGAAAAAAAGAGAGAGAAAATAAATGACAGGAATCATTTTTTGAAGGGAAAAATCCTGTCAAGCCACAAATTGCCTAAACCACCTAATAATGCTCTCCTTCACCAGCAAATTACAATGATGCTGGGGTCCTGGCCAGAGACCAATCCCAAGAGAGGCTAAGGACCACATCATAGAAGAACTAAGTAAGAGACCCCATGCCATAAAAATTGGAAGTTTTTCCAACATTTAAGAAGTGGAATCAAGAGGAAGTAATGCCTTCCTGTTTGTAAATGTAACAAATAATTAAAATGGGAGTATGCCTTGGTAGGAAATATTGAGTATAAAGAGTGGAGCAGCTCTCATCTAAAGAAAGCTCAGCGTAAATTCATCAGTGGATTCCATAAAGGAAATGACTTTTTTAAAAACTGAAAATGATTTTGGTGCTGTTGTCTTTTTGTTATTTTTGTGCTATTACCAGCGTTAGATTAATGATGAAAAATTAAGACATTTTTGTAAAAGTTTAAGAGATGCCAAGCTAAAATGAAATCTCGAAATAACAGGTAATTCTGAGCAGAAATCGAGATTTTTAAAGCAGCTCATTATTTACCCATAGCTGTAAAAACGAATATGTGAAGAACACAACAGTTCTTAGTGTTTCATAGCCACTAACACATACACACGAGACTCAATGAATATAGATCTGTGAACGTTGTAACAGAGATCACATTTGAAATCACGATAAGATTTTTTTGTTTTAAGCTTAAACAAGGGCGCACTCACATAACAAGATAACATTTATGCACCAATTTAAGTATTAGGCCTTTAAAGCAGCATGGAGAAATCTTGGCCATTTTAATTACCTGTAATTCCTCTAACTTAAAAATCTGTATTTAACGACAGATCTTGATTTTCAAAACCATTGCCAACTCTAAATCAATAAGCTTCCTGTAATAAAACGAGTATATTAATATCCTGATAAAAGTAAGCATTTGTCTTTCCCTATTAAGAGTGAATTATTGCTAATTTATAATGTATTCTTCATAAAACTATCAAACATAAAAACATTTGTTTTCATTCAATGGTAAACTAGAATATTTTTCACACAAATTCCTTCTAAAGTCTACAGGTTCAATCTGATTGAAAAATGAAGACAAAAATTCCCATTCCCCACTACCACACTTAAACAAAAACACAGGTTAGCAATAAAGCAAAGTCACCTCCGTTTCCTATATTAACTCATGTCCCCAGACTATGCCTTCCAGGTTAACTTTTTGGAGTTCTCTTTATTTTCACAACCCAGATCTCCCAAGTGTCCACGTAATTCTACCTGCCCTGCTCGCGAGGAGAAACACGTTCATAACCTCAGGGATTTAGTCCTCGAGTCCGTATGGGCTGTTAAAAAACATCTAATCGTTATGCCTGCACAGTATCATTGCTCCTCTCAAAGAACTTTTTAACCCAATACTTTGAAAGCAAAGGATCCCTAAAAAGTACTGTCAGGTTCCACAGAAAGGCAAAGCTGTGGAGAAGGATTTGAAAAGTGTAACCCCACACACCAGGCACAATTTAAATTTGCATTCTAAATGATAGCTGTAATGAAGCTCAGTCACTCTGTTAAATTAAACTGCCAGATTAAAATTAAAAGCGAAGAGAATCTGCCACTTCTGCCCATTTCAAGCAGTGACAGTCCTCCATCCATCCCCAAACACGCTCACACGCTCTCAGCACACTGTTTTCCCCACGAAAACACGAAAGGAAGTAAAATACCTCTTCGGACAATTTCATCTCATCCTAAGGATCCCCGCGGATTTCCAACACGCTTTCTGCGCTGCCCACCAAGGTTTCTAACACATCATGAAGGGCCTCCCGAGTTAACGCGGTGGCCAAAGGCAAGCCCACGGTCTGGCTGATCATAAGCAAATATCCGCCTATACTTTGCAGCAAAAGCTTGATTCCCCAGGGGCCGGGAGCAGCCAGCCCCGGGCTGCAGGGAAGCGCCGCCACATTGCCAGTTACGACAGTGGAGCTGCGCCCTCTGCAATCCGCGCGGAGAGAGGCGGTGAATAAATAGTTGACGGAGAGGAAGGAAAAGGAAAAAGTTATGAATGAAAACAAGTTTTCTCTCTCTCCCTCTCTCCGGCAGGAGGAGGGGAGGAGGCTGAGGTTACCATTACCTCAGGAGGGCGGACTTTCCCACTTTTAAAGTGGCAGTGCCCTGTCCCCTCCCCTCGCCTCTGCAAGGCTCTCAAACCCGAGAGTGGAAGCTGCTGGCACTGGCTCAGGCTAACTCTGTCCGGGGGGTCACCAGGGCACTCGGGGGCTTGCCTCCCCCCCACGCGCGCGCCTGCCCCGGTCCCACGGCTGCGGACCCATTGCTCTGCAGAAAGCCCGCGGCTGGCACAGGCCAACAACCTCCTCGCCTCCCCCTTCCAGAGCACCCCCAAATCCTTGCATTAATTCATATCTCACGTGCAGGGCTCCTCCGAGGGGTCAGCCCCGACCACGGCTCCAGGCCAGTGGGGACCAGTAGACCCCCGCCCCGTCATCCTCCGCCCCGGCGGAAGGTAGCCCGCCCCGCCTCTTGGCCCCACGCGCCCCCCAGAGCCGCAGC